TGATTTCATTTCCTCGATTTAGCCAAAGCGTATAACATTTTGGACATCTACAATTTATCTTTGCTGGCATGTAAGAACACGCGCGTGCTGTCGATTTCGGCCCGATAATCCCTAGATAAGAGGAAAGCCTCAATTCTCATATCGATCATTTCTGTGCTTAGAAAAATGCAGAGTAAAGATGCTTACCGATTGTACGGTCTCTTTCCAAAGAATGATAACAGCAGCTCGTCAAACGTGGCCCGCATTGCGTTCTGTGGTGCTTCCTTCGGTCCGAGGATAATCGTTATCTGGGCAGAATTTTCTGTGACATGGAACGCAAACACAAACTTTCCTTTTATTTTATAATTTGGACAGTATTTAACTCAATTCGAGATAAATATATACTTCCTGAGGGCCCGCATTCATGGCATTGGAAAGTGTTCGCGACTCTCTTTGTCTGCCATCTTGAATCTCTTGGTTTGTTGTGAAACACAACATTTCAATCAAAACACGCATTCTCATTGGTTGAAACGTGAGTTCCTTGACATCACAGATGTCCTAATTTATCGGGATATTCCGGACAGTTTAAGGAAAGACAAATTATCCAAACAAGGTAAACCCAGGAGCATCATGAAACCTAAGATATTTTTTCGAATACTTAAAATAGACGAAGCGTAATTGTGCTGCAGTATTTAAAAGTATTTTAGAAAATATAACGTTGTGGAACGGACTGGCTGAGGAAAAGGAAATGCAGCTTTTGAAAGCTCCTCAAACTTTCAGCAGCGTTTCGATAGAAACAAGGGAAAAATGTAAAATCTAACTTTTTTTTCCACGAAACACTGCAATAACTGGAAACGAGATCACTCTCTTATTTCGATTTCGATTATCAAGATCTATATTCTCTTTGCTCGCGCCATCATTTGTATATCACCGCTAGTAATACTTTTTTGTTTGTTATCGGTAATTAGAAGAGAAGCATTTTCTTTTGCGCTCGCCTTTTTACAGGGAGTTTTTCTTTTTTTTTTAATCCAAAAAGAGTCTCTCAAGTGGCTCAAGTAGCTAGATGTCGCGAGGAAGGGGTTTATTTGCGGTAATGGCCTATACGAAAAGGCGACTGCATTGCACTTCACAAGCTCCAGTGGAGAGATGGGCAGGGAAAGATGTCATTTAGGTGTCATGTTAGACTTTCTCACGAATTGAGCTGAGAAAGCCAAAATCGGACGCGAAAAAAATCCGCCATGCTCAAAACCCGACGGCAGAGAGCGCAAAGAAAAGGAATTCAAGAACCATTCGAGAAGTCTGTCTCCACTAGCTTAAAGGAGGATTAATATTTTATATATTATATCAAATTGTGTTCGTTTCTGCCTTAACTTTAAACGAAATCAAGAAAATCGAGCCACACAAAACCATCCACTAATATCCCCACATTTATTTTCGGAGCACTCGCAAAATATGTTATATATATCCTTTAAATGAATTCGCTCAAACCATTCGCTCAAAACAAGTAAAAAGCCAACGCATGCACAAGAGACGAATTGTCTCTTCAATAAGCTTAGAAGGAGGAGAAGCTAAGGTTGCAGGAAGTCCATCGGCACCACTCAGTGTTAAAGCCAAATAAAAACTGATAAGAATTGCAAGGACCAAGTAGTTTATGAGATACAGTAAAACTGATGGTAAGACTCAGATAGTTATATGTGCGCTGTTAGCCGTAATGGTATTCTCAGTTTTCAGTTAAGTCCTTAAGAGGCACCCTCTGTAATTTTCAACTATGGCCATTTGGACCAGAAAAAATCAAATTCCTCAAACTT